AAGTTCCAAAAATTTAGAACAGTTTCTTCCGTAAGAACGGTGCTGTCATTCTCCTTCAGTGATGAGCCTAGTTAAGAATGGATCTTATCTTTAGTACCCAATTATCTGCTGGTAATGGTCTCTCTGCATGTCATGAAATGAGTTTTGATTTAACACATCATTTCACTCAGCCAAAGGCATAACATAGGTGCCCAAGGTAATAATGATGGTTGACAAAGATTAAGCCTCGAGTCAGCTTAAATATCACACTGGAGGCATGTAAAGTTTGTAGAAGGGGATTGAATTCATATGAAACTGAGGCAGCTTTAGACTAAAACTTGGTTTGCTAGAAGGATCAACACCAAGCCTTCTCCACAGTATTTTTTCAGATGGTTTCTTGCTTAGGGGAGGTTGCTTACACGATCCAACTACCAAGCTTAGGATATATCTTGTATTTCATGTCTCTTAACTCAAACATAATATGCAATGAAAGGTGATTCTGTAACAGTATGTTATTAATCTTGGATCGCGGCACGGTGTGATCATCTTCAAAAGTGGAATGGAACAGGAGCGCGAAGCGGAAAGGCCGATATTTTAGTGACGCGGATACTAATGTAGTTAATATTAACGAACGCATAATTGTTAAAAACTAATAAATTAATCAAAATTCACTAAGTATTCATATTTAGAAATAAAAGTCAGAAGTCTTGAGCAAAACACGTTTGCAAATGCCAATAAAATTCAATAAAATAACCTTGTTATCCTTAAAAATGTAAGGGTAATATCATTTACGGCTACGTGGCTGGAGCGGCCGCTCTGACACGGTGTCGTTCTTAATCCAGTCTCAATATTGCGGTCGTTTCAGCCGAGTCACCCATATGTGATGGAACCGCACGACCTGACGCGGTGTCGTTCTGAATCCAGTTTCATTATTGCGACCGTTTCAGCCGAGTCACCCATATGTGACGGAACGGCACGATCTGATGTGGTTATCTTGATTTTGCTATTCCACACCGAGATAACTGCCGGAACGGCTGAGTTTAATAACATAGGTAACAGCAACCTTATTTCCTGAGATGAAAGTCAATAACCTGATCCTGTGGTCTCCCAAAGCAGCATTGAGTGTTGACCAGAGAGAGGAGGTGTATTGGCAAGTCACCAATCCAAGAGCAATTTTCATCTTTCAGGATATGGCAGGATAAGTGGGGAATTAGTAGGAGGAACTTACACCGAAAAGCCTAAATGTCTAAGCCTAGCATATCTCTCTAATCAGAAATCAGTAAGTGGTAAGAGGGTTGTTATACAGAGGATGAGGTCTTTTATATAGGCTAGGAGAGAATGATGAAACTTAATCCGAGTATTGATGTTACTTGAAGCTTTAAAGAATTCTCTCTGGCTTGGAGGCTTAACCCTCTTCCTTGTATTTCCTTAGTTTCACAGTAATACAGAAACTGAAACTAATGGGAACTCTTATCACCCTCCCTGATTTTAGCATCTAAAAATATTGTTCATGCATAAATATCCATCTTACACTCAAAGGGTAACACAGTAGTCAGCTTATGTGCTTTTCTGCTCAAGTTTTAAATTGGTTGTCATTCAGATTTCGTAGGTTTGTGGTTCTGCATATTTTGAAGAAAACAGCACCTAGGCAAGGAAGTAAAAGAGGATGCAATTTTTTTCTTTTTTTCTTAAGGGGTCAGAGTGCATAAGGAGCTGGAACTTTACTGGGTAATACACATCCATAATATACACATAGTGTTGTAGATCTGAAGCCATATAACATGTGATCAGCAAGTTTATATCAAATAGAAAGTTTATACTAAACCAAATAAAATAAAAATGAGAAAAAGTCCATAACAAAGGTTTGTTATTCTGATCAGTTGATGCTAATAAAACCTAATATTGCAGTAACTGATACTGAAATGAAGCATGACACCCGTACTTTTTTCAGATACCACTTAACTAGAAAAAGGCAAATTTCTGGTCTTGCAAGAAATAATTGCACAAAGGATAAGTCTTGTATCAGTATATTTTCAAATTTTCTCTTTGAACAGTGTGTGCTTTAACAGCGCCTTGCTTAGCAGTTCGGCATTCTCGACATGGCGATAGAAAAGACATGATTTTCTGGCAAAACCCTTTTCTCTTCATAGTGTTTTGCTTGCTTGTATGTTTGCTTGCTTTGCCAAGTTCATGATATTTCATACTGCTGCCTGTTTTTCCGCTCGACATTTCATTACTGATATGAGTTGCTAGTAATGATCTCGAGGAACTGGTTGGAGTTACGATCAAATTCTGAGTTGTCTCAAACACAAATGCTTGTGGTTGAAGTTGAAGTTGACCATTGGAAATAAGCTGATCAGCAGGTGTGATCTTGATTGGATTGACAGGTGAATTCAAGTTTACTTTCGGGTTAGTAAATTCAAACTCTTGGTCGTGTTTGCTTACCAGGAAGTGTTTCGCCTGGTTTGGAGGAGGAGAATGGAGGTTTTTCTGTTGGTCTTGAATCGAAACAAGGCCGCTAAAAGAGAGCGAGTCCATTGAAATGCTATCAGATACAAGTTTTGAAGGAGGCTTGTTTCCTTTCATGGTATGCATTGATTCATGATCCAAAATGGCCATATCGGGTGAAAACTTATACATGAGGAAACTTGCCTCCTTCAAATTGTTTTATTTTTCTTGGCCCCTTTGAGAAAGAGGAAGGGTAAGCCCATGCATATATATAATTTTCATTGTCACATCAATGATTTGGCCCATATATATCCACAAAAGTGTTCACATTTTGGTGGATATTACCAAAGTGAATACATCGGTTTCTTAAGGTCACTGTCAAATCTCAAAATCTTAATAAGTCTGTATGACAAAGTCATAACTTCAATTTTTGTCTTTGCTGTGTGTGCCTTTTGAGCTTACTTGAGGCATTGCCACTCCTAGCAATACTCAAATGGCTGATTCTACAAGGATGGCCAGTCTTGTTAGCTGAAGAGTTCAGTATGTTTTGTTTATTTCTCTTTGCTGATTTATTATTATTGTTGTAAGTTTCACCGTCTTCTTCTGTTAAGCTTTTTTTTTGCGTTAAATCACCGACCGATGATTGTTGTGGCTGGCCGCAGCCCCAGTCAGTCATTTAGAATGTGTGGAATATCTTATCAACCATCTTAGTCAGGATTTGTCCATTTTCACTTTTTTATTTTTATATTTTGAGAAATAGGTAGAATTATTGCCCATTAAATAAATGTAGAACGATTGAGAGTACTTAAGAAGTGTTGATTCTTGAGAGTTGCATAAGAATTTTTATATTTTTAACATGGATGTAAGCAACCATTGACACTTGGCTTCTTGAGTATCATTTTATTCACTAGTTGCCACTACTTTTTTTAACTTTGTTAGTATCATCGTGAAGTTAGATTGAAAATTTTAAATTACCTATATCTAATGATAGATAGAGTAATATATTTTATTGGATAACAGTGTAAAATTACTTATATATCTCATGATAGATAGAGTGATATATTTTTATTGGATGACAGTGTAAAATTACTTATATATCTCATGATAGATAGAGTGATATATTTTTATTAGATGACAGTGTAAAATTATTTATATATCTCATGATAGATAGAGTGATATATTTTTATTGGATGACAGTGTAAAATTACTTATAATTCATTAAATTCATAGTAAATTTATCTTGTAGTATAACACGTTGGAGTAACATTGAGTCATTGACAATTGACATGTTTATAGAAATTAATTTTAGTATTAAGAATAAGAGAACATTTATTTGTTTAGTTTGTAAATTTGACAAATATATTAATAGTAAATAATAGGATTTATTGTCTTGTATTATTTAATAAATTTGAAGATATATGAAGTTTTATTTAAAAAAAAAATAATATAAGAATTTTTAATAGATTTATACAACTTTAACTAATAATTTAATTTTTATTATAATAGTTGTTTTAGTATCTCTACATTTTATAATGCATATGAGAGTATAAGTCATTTATACATCCATTATTCATTTAGTTGTTTTTTTAGTCATATTTACACTTCAGTTATTTTTTTTAGTTTGATAATTTATAATTTTATTTGCTAATTATTAGTTATCTCTTAATTTTTATATTGAAAGACAATGAAAAATTTGATACTATTGAGAATTATTAGATTAGTGCGAATGACGAGACGTATTTAAATTTGAAATTCTGTTTATTTATTTATATTTATTGATTCAAACGCTTGAAACAATCAACATTTATAGTGTTGGAAAAATGACCCTCTATTGCAGGTTCTAACTAATTGATAATGGCAACTGTCAGTCAGTACAATAACTAACTTTTTTAGTTAGTTATTCTACAATACACAACTTCAGTACAATAACAAAACAATTACAAAACACTAAGACTAAATCAAAACAGATGAAATCTAGTTTTAATTCTAACTTCTAAGAAGAAATATATGCTCAAAATAAATCAATTCCATTTCTAATTTTAACTTCGAAGTACATATAAATGCAAATAAAGTTTAAATTAAATCTCTTCCAAATATTGTTAGTTGAATCAATATTTCTTTATTGTTGGTTGATTGGTCCATTAAACTATACTAATCAATTTAATAGTTATAAATAAATATGTAAATACGGCAAATTGCCGCCTACGTCAATCCAATACCATACCATACCAATCTAACACAAAAGAAACATATCAACAATGAAAGAGTGTATATCCATATCTTCAATTTCGGTGGACCCCACATTCATACATTAACAATAAAACAAAACATAGAGTAAAAAAATATTGATTCAACTACAACCCACTACAACCTCTGTCCCACATTTCATCAAGATATTATAACCGGGTCCCACTTTTCATCCTTATCCAATTTCCACCCTTTCTATTTTACCATATTGCCACTTCCATATTACACTTGATCCAATTTTAACCCTAGATATTTTAAGCACCACTCTCCCTATATATAACAACACTCATATTACATATTCTCATCAAACTCTTCTATATATCAAAATGTTAGACAAACTTTGGGATGATATTGTTGCTGGCCCTCAACCAGAACGTGGCCTTGACAAGCTTAGAAAACTCACCACCAACGTCAAAGGTAGTAGTAACAATATATTCATAATATTTTTATAGGACAAAACGGTTTTAGAAGATGTTGATACTGATATTATTATTCACTGTTTATAAATAAAACTTTGATATTGAGGTTGTATAATTAATTTGAATTTGGATGTAGATGAAGGAGCAAGTAGTCAATTAATGAGGAGCACGTCGATTCCGACGACGCCGACGACACCGGTGACTCCGACAACACCTTCATCGGCGCGTAAAGTTGACAACGTTTGGAGGAGCGTGTTCAATCCTGGGAGTAATTCTGCTACTAAGACAATTGGTGCTCATGTTTTCGACAAACCACTCCCCAACACCCCCACTGTCTACGATTGGTACATAATCTCCTCTATGATTGGTACATAGTCTTATTTATGTTTTTACCCGTTAGATCTTGAGATCTTTGATCTACGGATGAGATTTGCCTGTTTGTTGAGTATGGTTGTATGTGATCGCAGGATGTACAGTGGGGATACAAGGAGCAAGCACCGTTGATTACTGATCAAGTGGATACAAACTCCCTTGGGTTTTGCATGTAAATAGTGTTCTGTTTTGTTTATCTTCTGCCACGTGTGTGTATCACCATTACGTGTCGTGATCTGATAGGTTGTTGCAGAGTGTTTTTTTTTTTTTTTTTTTTTTTTTTGTATTGAAGCATCTACTAGTAATCTGAATCTGAATGTAAAATACTTATAATAAATTTAACTAGTATGCTTTAATTAGTTTATATTTGAGTTTTGTGCTTGGATTGTAATGGTTTTTATATTACAAATTGGGGATTATAATATTCATAATAAGGTGATACAAGTTTCATCTTCATGGATTAGGACTGTATTATAATAAGACTAATAATTTAGGTGAGATGCATACATCCTACACTAAATTGATTGATATCCATTTCCTAATCATTCTAATTTAATACTTGGAAATAATTGATGTTTTGGGGCCACCAATAACAAGTCCTTTTCTAAAATAATTGACAAATAAAATATGATTTAATGGAGAAACCGAGGGATTTATATCTTATCCTTATTTTGAATATTGCCAACAAATGGTATGTCATTGATATATAATGGAATTCTTGACTAAAAAAAATCTATTCTTAATTGATCTGATCTGTTCATCAATTTATTTAGAGAATTTTTTCACTTCTTGAGATTATTCTTTCAAAAATTTTCTCCTTGTTTTCGAAGATGTATTTTTTTTGTTTAACGTTTTTTTTTGGAGTTACAACTATGAAATGTTTTCCTTTATATATTTGCACCAGAGTCTTTTCTCCTCTCTCATCTTCATTTTCCATCTTCTTCACTCTCAAACTTTCTCAATCCTAAAAAAAAATATTTCATCAAACTTAACTTTTTTCAATCAAATTTGACAAGGAGCATTTATTTCAACGATCAAGATACTCCAACTCATTCAAAGCTCGATATAATTGATAAGTTTTCGAGGTATTTTCAAATATTTTTCGTAAACGAGTTAAAATATAGTTTTAGGGGTATAAATCCTTAGATAGTTTTAAAAACTGTTTCGGGCTGACCCAATGGCTAGACATGATCCAACCCACTTATACTTTCAGAACAGTTCAATTATCTAAGTCCAACCTCTTTGGTGGAAAGTTTACCTTTCTGTCCCTCCAACAGGGGAGGCTGGCCTATTTACCCTTGGTCATAACTCTCTCCCCCTCCGGTCAGTCTCTATCCGTCACACACGGTTCCACTATTCAAAAACAGTCAAGACGCTTGTGCCTGTGACTACGCCCATGTCTGCGCCAACGACTATTCATGGGCACGTCTGCCCATCCCAATGACTATTTCTGGCAGTTACCTATTCTTCGAGAAACGGTTATCTCGCCCCAAAAATAGGGACCAATGGCCAAGCGCTTGGGACATTATAAAAACCCTCACATTTGAGAGAGTCAGGTATCCAATTTCTCACCTTGAAACACATATATTATGTACTTGTTCGCTCTCTTGCTCGTTTTCTTACTTTAGCATCAGAGTGTCCTGCAAGTACACCTCTTCATCCTCTTTCACATCCAGCATCACAGACGTTTGTCCTTGACCCATCTCAGATTCTGATCATTCGGTAAGATCAGTGGCGTCTGTGGGAAACTTATTATCCCCGTCTTTTCTCTCTTCATAAGAACACAAGACCAAAACAATTCTTCAACTTTCTGATCATGGCTGCCCGTGACAACAATCTTGATGCTCATAACTCTGCTTTCCTCCTCGTCAGCAAGACTGATGCTGAGAGGGGCTCCACCTCTCATGGCGGCGATGTCCTCCGATAAAGGGACGGAGCCATAGCTTCTCCATCCCTTGTTTGTGCAGATCACGACGAAGCCCCACCTGTCCCGCAACACCTGTCAGTTCCAGTTCCGCCCAATGCCAACCCGGTCATGGAAACCCTCCTCGAGGTTCTCAACAAAACCAACCTCTTAATCCTCAACCAGAGCGCGATGATTGAAGCATTGGAAGAGTCTCGTCGTCCAAAATCCCCTCCACTGAGGAAAGAACGTCAGCAGCGACATAGTCCCCTCCCCGGTGCGAGAGGAACTGTCAAACGCCTCCACCATGACCGTCTGCAAACGTGACCAGATTTCTCCCCGGAACCAGCAGTCCCCGCAACCCAAGAGGACCCGAAGAGGACACCAGGTAGAATCTCAATGTTCGCCACCCAGATCTAAGGGCCGAGCATAAACCCCATCTCCACGACGAGGCCATCGTCCCACCTATAGACGTGACGTCCGCTCCCCCTCTTGGACCAGCAGCAGCAGCGACGACGAGCCTCGCGGCCCATTGTCCTAGGAAATCGTAGTCATGTGCCTCCCAAAGGGACTAGAAAAACCCCATTCCTTAGGCACATACGACAGAACAACTGAACCTGACGAGCACATCAAAAACATCAATGCGCTGCTCGACTATCGCGGCGTCCGGGGCACCATCAAGTGCAGGTTATTCCTAATCACACTCAGGAATGGGGCAATGACCTGGTACAAAGGACTCCCTAACAACTCTATCACCTCGTAGAGGAAATTTGGAGACTCTTCTCTAGATATTTCATGGCTTCTCGTCGACATCTGAAGACTGAAGCCTCCCTCGAGGCCATCATTCAGGGAATGGACGAATTGAAAGTTCAATAAGGAGGTCGTCCAAGTCTCCACCACTGATGACATGAAGATGTTCCTGTTAGAGCGCAGGCTTCGTCCCCGCACAGACTTTGCTAAAGCTGTAGGCCTCTGATTGCGACTTTCTATGTCTAATACAACTAACTGCAAGTGCACAGTCTATCGCGTAGTAATAAAAGATATCGATCCCACAGGGACTCGTAATCAAACTAGTGTTCTCGGGAGTTACTATGTTTAGCTAGGTAGGATATGTTTTAAGGGAATAAGATTGTCACTAAAAGGGGGAACTAAGATTACTGTTTAGATTTTAATTAATTGAATCGATACGTAGTAATTGTGTTCTTCAGGGATTTGATAAGTTACTGGTGTATGAAATAGTTTTCACAGTTTATTTAAGCAGAAAATGGAGATTTGAAGACTCTCGTCTCACGATGGTTATTGACGCTAATCATAATCCTAAGGGCCAAACGTACACTTTCGTATCCCGTTCGGGGTTAAAACTATTTTTTGGAAATCTTTAAGTTCTAATTCGTTTTAAAGTGCTTTCGCTGTTATTAAAACAAATGCCTAGTGTTTACTATCTGACCTTACCGCAGCTTTCGCTTGTTGGTTCGTATCTTAATTAATTTCCCACTTTCGTGGCAAAACTACTTTTAAATAAGTTCTCGCTTTCGTGACGAAGTTTATTTCGTGAATCAATTTTAAACACTTAGACCATGAATTACTTTTGTGAAAAGAAAGTTTTCAAACAAGAGTTATCAAATCCCATTCGAATTATTACTACATATCGATTACCTAAGTTTAGCTAGACATGGAATTTGGAAAGACAAAACATAAATAATAATGATAAATAATAAATTGCATTATAATAAAACAGAAGTCGATCAAAATGAAAACCTGTAAATAATGCCAATTGGCCTTTGGGCAGATCCTCCACAGATGTTGGCAGGATTCTGTCTTTAGTTCCAAATTGATCGTACAGTGCAATAGGTATTACAGAAGAGCGGAAATGTAAATGAGGAAATGAAAAGGAAAAAAAAAGAAAGGAATACAAATAAAAACTGGAGAAATGGATACAAATAAAAACTGGAAAGTAAATTTGCTATGGAAATTAAATTTGGCAGCACTTCGTGGTATGAATGCAGCTCCCTTTTTGAAGTCTCCTGCTTCCCTTTTTATAGAAGTGGAATCCCAACGGTTATCTCTGAGGATGATGGACCTTGAGGCAGATAATTTAGGGAGTAGTGGACCACTTAATGGGAATTGGAACTGCTCTTTTGACGTGTAATCTGAGTGGGGCGTTTTTGCCTGCATGACGGTCGTCACAAGGTGTGACGGTCGTCACCCGTGTGACGGTCGTCATGCATCTGTGACGGTCGTCACATCAGCAAAAACTGATTGCTGCGCTTTTCATTGTGTTTTCACTCCTTTTTCGTCCATATTTCATCTGAGATTGCTCCTTTTCTTCATGTTGCCTTGTTTAGGCGTGATCGTTGAATACCTGCAAAAACATCAGACAAATACACGGAAATAACCCGAAATCGGATCGAAAACGGTTAGACTTTAGTTGAATTGTGCATGAAAATATCTATATGATTTCGTGTTATCAAACTCCCCTAAGCTTGAATCTTTGCTTGTCCTCAAGTAAAACGTGGAAAAGTCGGCAAGCACGAGGCTGCTTCTTCGTTCGCAGAGTTTGGAAAAACTGGGATTCTTGGTAGGAACAAGACGAGTATCATGACGACACTGGGCTACGAGTCTCCGGGGGTCTCCTTTTTATGCAAATCGGTCTCAGTCATGCTACCGTATCTTGGTGTCAAGGTTCTCGTGGCAAGTTCACCCTGTTTGTTCTAGCGCAATCACATTAAGCCCGTTGTCCGCACACTTTCATGGCAAGTCGACCTGTTAGTGAATATGATCTCGTTTTTGTTTTTGATCTTCTTCATTGATCATAATTTTATGTCATTGATTTTCAATGATTTTTTCGTGCCGTTGGGCTAAATGCTCGGGTGAGGAGCACCTAACTTAGAAGGAAACGTATCTTATATTCTTGGGCTTTTTAGCTCTCTTTTCATGATTTTTCATCTTTTTGGAGATTATACACTTATTTGCATCGGTCGCTCGCTTAGAAGTGTTTTTAGGATGGTGCTGACTGCTAGTATAAACTACTTGAGGTTGAGTTTGCGTAGACACTTGAGACTTTGGTACACGTAGATGGTGAAACCGGCTCGCATAAACTAGAGATCTAAGGTGTCTGGACGATACTGGTTTTGTTAGAACTGTCGTTTCCTCGGAGTTTCAAAACTCGGTTTTGAACTCAGGTGCATTCTCGTGATGCTTTTGCTTTTGAGGAACAAATGAAAGTTTTTGTTTAC